TAAAGAATATATATTTTAATTTTTACAGAGTATAATAAATTAAAATGTGATTCCGAAAACTTTTTTCGCGCACTGTAATTGTTCTATAAATTTTGTTTCGGTTTAACTAGAGTGAATAATTATTAGATAGATACTTTAGTTATAAAATTACCATAAAAATTATACTAAATATAGATCGAGACATTTGAAATCCTTCACCTTCATTTTGAACTGGGACATTATAAGATCTTTTCTTCACATCTTACAACATTAACTAAAACATCATCGACGGGCCATCTTCCATTTCTTGTATAACTAAAAATCTATTTGGATTATTTTCACAATAATAAAAAGGTGATATAAATAGGTGATGATTAACGTCTTGTTTTTAATAAAACATAAATATGTTCATCTATCCAAGCTTTGATAGATGTTGAAGAAAAGAATGCAATGCTCATAGTAATGCTTTACGAGATGCATTGATATTAGCGATAAATTTGTATGGGGAGACGATTTGAGAAAGAAGATGAACAAAATGCTTCATAATTAAATTGATTTCCCAATAAATCCATCGTTAATTCTTGTTCAGTTTCTTGATATACTATTTATTAGCATGACAAGGGTCAACGCATTACGAATTAAAACTTTTTCTTGAGTTGACAATTGAATCTTTATAATCGACAATTAAAAATAATGAATTAATGAATGAATTTATATCTAAAGACGTTACAACTCATAAAATTCACTTACCGGTTGATCATGACAATCAAGTGAATTTCCTAGTACACTAGTATTTATAGCATTTCTATTTAGTACTAGGATTAAAATATAAAGGTTGTAATTTGAATAAGGCCTTAAAGATCCTACAAATCCTGCTATTCACTGATTAAATGTACAGTACTCTCCACTACGCATCACAAAAACTATGTGCTTTGTTGCATCGATACGTATACCATTAAATGTGGATTCTTGGCCAACCAGTTGATCCATTTATCTTTTACATGAGACGCAATATTTTTTTTTATAAAAAAATACTGGGTTCAACATTCAATATTTTCTTGATCTTCAGGTCGCAATATTCAATTTAATTAAATGGATTATATAATCTTCAGTTCTAGGAGTTTTTCCAACTTGTGGATCCATGTGATTTCTATTAAAAAAAATGATCATTATAATTCAAAATCAAAAAAAAATGTTATAATCAAATTTGTAGGTAAAACATATGGCACTACGTCAATCATAACCTAATGTCTTTCTCGCGTGAGTTTTAAGCTTTTTGAGGTCATCAGTCATAATTAAATGCGGAATAATTTGATAAAGATCTTGGACCATCTATTGGTGTGGATTAAAATAATTCATCAGCCGATACTTTTACTCTTTACTTCTTGATTATTGATCTTAGATACTATATCAATAAAACCCGGGATTTTTAAAAATATGAAAATAAATTAAATCACCCAATGAACCATCAGTGAGATCGGAACACTGCCAGAAGGTTTCAACTCACAGGGTATCTGCAAATGATTCCTTTGGAATCGATTCTTTGGCTACTTGTTCTGGAAGAGTTACATGTTCAGTGTTAGTCGTGGAAAGGTCTGTTTCACAGCTGGTATTAATTGCTGGGGATGATTCCTGGACAATCAATTCACCCTGAAGCTTTTTTTCCCGCTTTTTCTTCCTAATCTCATCACTAACCCTTTTCTTATGCACCTCATCCAAGAAATCGTCTGTTTCCTTATCTTCCAATGGTTCAGTGTTAGCATTATCACTAGGTGCGTCTCCAAAGGTAACTGCTCGTCCTACTTCATTATTTAGCTGGTTTACTACAGAATCGGATACCTGAATATTGCTAAAAGATGCTTCGCTAGTATTTGAATTCATTATGTTGGTGTTCGAATCCATAGTATTATTGTTCTGCCCATTTCCTGAAACCATTTCCTTAGAAATAACCATTACCTCTGGCAACATCTCCGGTTGAGGGAAGGTTTGCTGTTTGATTTCGTTGACATCATACCTTAATTTTGCTATCTCAGCTTTAAGATTAACATTCTCGGATTCGAGTTTAGTGGTAACTGCATTAGTTTTCTTTAGCTCCACGATTACAGCATTAAGTTTGCCAATCTTAACTGAATAATCAGCTATAGTCTTCTCCGGCTCATCGGTTCTGACCTTAAGCTCCCGTCTCAACTCCATTTTCTCAGCCTCAACCTCAGCAAACTTTAGTAACCTCTCTCTAAGTTCGGGAATTTCAGTATCCTCTTTCCTAAGCTCTGAAATCTCAGCCAAGAGTATAGTATTTAGCTCTCTTAATGAATCCATTGTAATTTGAGCGGTTGACATTTTTTATACAAAATGGGAATAATTCAAAAGTTCGTCAGCATAGATATAAACGAAGTAATATCCTCATCAGAATTAATACCAGAAAATAAATTACATGATTCGATCAATGTGAAATGGTTTCTATACTAATGCTTACAGACCACACCAGTGTTTCGTTCATCTAAGCTACCTGTACTAGCACAATATCCCAACATTAACTCTAATCCGATTTCATTTGTCCTAAGATCGATATTCTGGATAGAATAAAATGGTCGTCAGTTATGCATAGAACATGCCGAGTCAGAAATAAATTAACAATGTCGATCTTAGTAAACTCATCGAAGGTTTATGTTCTCGGCCCAATAATGTCCTCAAAATTTCAGAATAAAAAAATACATATTAGCTTTGCGAGCTCTGAGTCGCTTCCTTGTAAATGCACAATCATACATTCATATATTAATTGCGTAATGTCTCGCCCGGATTTGAAAATTTTCTCCTACAGAGTTACTGCGCTTTTATTTTTTTCCGATGTGTTGCACATAAAAAAGCCACAAGTCAAATTCGGTCAATCGTACGACTGAAAAATTACGTAACATTAATTCACCTTTATTTAATAAATACCCTGAGAATTCGTCGGAGAATCAAAATCTAATGAGTAATGATAAAACCGTATTAATCATTTTTCTCCGCGTACAGTAAATTTACTTTTTTGCTATGCTTATTCGTTTTTTCGTAGCACAAGCTAGTAAATCAGAGTTTATCAAGAGTCTATTTACTATTAGTCACGATGTATTCAGAAAAGTATATATATACCCTCTAGTTTTCTCAAACCTCTTTTTCTAGATCTCTTTCTCTAAAATATTTTATCATTAGACACACAATCAAAATGTTTAACTCTTACAGTTGTTTACTTCTAGATATTGGACGCGTTATCGTTGTTGAAGTTTATGAAGACAATGACAATAACAAGCAGAAATTCTTCGAAATTTGTAATGATAAAAAAGTTCCATTTGATAAATTAATAGTTGCACAACTCGCGGAACTTATCGCTTGTAAAGGAAATTTTAAAGTTTCGAATCTTTGGAAAGTTGACGTTGATAAATGTAAGCTTAATCCTGGTTCTAATAAAGAAGATATTGAAAAACTTGGAGGCGAGTCTATGGAATTTGAATACGACTTTATAAAATATTTTCAAGAGGATTATGAACCCACGAGAAATAAAATCCACATTGTCATCATCCCCGCCACTGGTAAGTGTCTCCCAATGGTTTACCTCTCGAACATGAAACTTCGTTTTTTTGTCTACACTAAACACCGCCCAAAAATACGTTTGCCTTTACTTAACTCTTTTTTTTAAATTTCTAATTTAATGTAGCTAATCTTTTTAAAGATTCAAATTCGATTTTAAAATGGATACAAGAATACTCACCGGTCACTGGGAGAAAACCCTCGATGTTGGTCGAAACGTTTGGTGCTCGATTTACTTTGTGTGGTCGTGATGACACCATAGAAACTCTTTGGAACGGAGGTGGCACAGAACAAAGTAATGGTATTCTAAATCGATTTAAAAACTTTCGCTCTGACCATCCAAAACAAGATCGCAACCTTCATCCAATTCCATTCCTAGCCTGTGGTCCCGGCACGGGAAAAAGTCAGTTTTTGCAGGAACTTGTTAATATTATTCGCGACAAGGCTTTGAATTCAGGAGATCAAGATATTATGTCTATATTAGGAAATGAAGTTTTTCTGAACGTTACATATGGAAATGGAACAGAGGCATCAGATTTTGACGTGAATATTGGAGCAGAAGCTTCATTAGCTTTGAGGATCTTATACAATTATTTTGTACATGGCAATGAGAGCTTTACCAAGTTTAGAGACGAGATTATTGGGCAAGAAAATGCAAAACAATTAACCTTGGCTCTTGTTTTAAGAACCATTTGTGAAAGTAAGCGTAAAGAAAATAGAAATATTAAAAAAATTGCAATTATTGTCGGTATTGATGAGGTCAACAAAGTATATGATAAAAATCGCAATAAATTCTGTGATCTCGTATCTACTATTGGCTCAATGAGTTGTAGTCCAGAAATGTTTTTTGTTCCAATCTTGGCGGGTACAGTTGAGGGTCCACTCCAGTTAATTATTACAAAATCAATGCATCCACCTCTTCAGTTACCATTACATTTGCTAGACATGGACGATATGTTAAAAATAGCGTTTGATCTTGGCTTTGACGAAAACTTTATTCATCGAAATAATCTTTTCGGACGTATGATTTCTGATGTAGGTGGTCAGGTGCGTGCATTAGAATTATTTTATGATCATATTTCGAATGCGTCCAGAACCCACAGATGGGACGACATTGATTTACTGGACATTATGATCTCACTTGAGGTGGAACTAAGTAAACGGTATCTATTCAATAAATATGCCAACATGATCACTCCAGTGCTCGCAAATGCGATTTTGGAAAGACCTGTTGATGAAGACGAAACTCTTGACATGGATGAGTCAGATCAGCCTATCTCATACAAATTGTTAAAGTCCAGTGGAATTTTAATACTTGAACCAACCAATACTGGGTTTATATACGTATTCCCTATCTTTGGATACGATTACTTGTAAAAAAAGCTGTTATTAGATCAATTAATAAATTCTGGCATGTGATGATCGATCCTGATGAACCATTTTATTGGCAAGATTGGGAAATTTTTAATGTTAAGTTTTGGGCCTTACGTTATTGTTTATTTTCAGCACTCGGACGCAAACAGATAGAGTTAAAGGAATTGTTAAAAGGAGCACATTATTCAGATAATTTAGATGTGAATGCAAATGTGGATATCCCTGATCACGTTAGCACGCATTATCTTATTCATCGATTTCCTCCTTCTGATGCTAATTATGATATGTTAAATACTGAGGGTAAAACTTGTAATATTTCACTTAAAGATAATAGTAAAATTTGTAAAAATGGAGGAGGGGCAGAAGGAGATGGGTTTTGTTTCTTGATAATTAATGGGAGGCCAATGTTTTTGTCGTTTCAAATGAAGTGGCGAGAGCAAGATTCAACGAAACCTGAAAAAATTGATGATGGTTTAATCAAAGAGGAGTATGAAAAGTCTAAAAAAGTCGCAGAAAAGATTGGTTTGGGTGATAACTGGTTACTGCTGATTTTATCAAATCGTGAGAGTACCTATACAAAGGACCTACTACCAAATTGTGCTATTGTTTACAAAGATAATTTTAATAATTTTTATGGTAAAATATATTTGTCACGTGCTCAATTTTTCGCAGGTAGGTTTTTATATTTTTAAAGAATTCGTTTTTTTTTTACTTACTGAAAAATTCACTTTTTTGTAGCTCAAGACAAAGTTCCTATTAATACGGCAAGATTTTGTGAAATACGAGCTATATATGGTGTGGGAAATAAAATTGCACATACTATTGTTGAAGATCGTGATGATAATAATGATAATAATAAGAGAAAATATATTGACGATGATGATTATGTAAACTGATAAAGAAATATCCACGTATTTCCTTGGAGTGTATAGAATACTAGCTTCTTTGATGGAAAATATTGCATAAATTATAGTAAATTCGTTTTGTAACAACTTGGAGATAAAATTTAATTACAATAATCGAAATATAGCACATTGCTTTATATGAAAACCCGTGACATTTTGTCACGATCAGTGTTGCGCGTAAAAAAATTTTTTTTTAATAAAAAAATAAATACAAGAGTCGGGATTTTGTCCGCGATACATGATGAAACTACTACATTTCCATTCCACTGCGAGATTGTTCAATGATTTTACCCTTTTCATCCCCCTCGATTCCTCCCCATTTTGCAAAGCTTCTACTCTGTCATAATTCCTCATACTTTATCGATATTGTACTCGTGTTTACTTTGCGTTTGCGAGATAGTAAAGACAATCTGAATGGCAACTTGCAAAGCTTCATTTTTTTTCGGACAGTAGCCTGATCGGGACATTTTGTCATAACCTAAAATTTCGTCAGCATTAATACAATCTTTACAGAAACCCGTGATTTTTTATTAAATAGTCACGTTGTTAATTAAAACTTGTCACAAATTAGTTTCAATATTGTAACTGCATATTTTCTTAACGAAGTCGTAAAAAATTAATAATAATTCATTAAAAATTAGTTGCAATAATCGTAATAATTTATAATAAATGTTTTAAATTTTTTTTATTAATGTTGAAAATTAGTTGAATAAAATAATCTTAGAAATTTATGCGAAGTTTCGGCAAGTACTTTTAGATGAAATTAATATGAAAAATTACTAAATATTTAAC